AAACAACAGTATATACTTTACTAATGATATAGTTCCGTCTGATAAAACTACGTTACGTGTTGAAACTTTCTTTTTTTCAAAAATATGATTTTCGAGTTGGGTCACGCAGATGACGAGGAAGGCAATAGCTGAATCAATTTTTAGAGAGCATATAAGCCATCTTCTTATTACACTTTCATCCTTTCTTGTTATCTTCTAATAAAATTCATTTCAGAAATGGCGTTTTTTGATTTTAGGATATTTTTTACTGCTCTTCATTAAATGTATTGGATTTATTTTAATGATGTAGTCTCTCTCTTTTACAGCAAGTCGCTACGGCCAAGGGGACGGATCATTAGATAAGAACCTGCAAGTTTCACTTCTTTGCAATAAATCTGTTGTGATTGTAATACTATCATCTGTTTTAACTTTTATAGACTTTAAACTAAATTTAGACTGTTTTGGCTTTAAATTAAAATTAGACTGTTAGACCAGCACCAACAAAATTTCTTAAGACAAAATTTTTTTCTGCAGACATTAATCTTTTCTACGTGACATCTCATTGTACTTAAAACTTTTAACAATAAATTGTTTTTCTATGAAAATATTGAAAACGGGCTTTTAAAGAATTGTTTTTGTGATTAGATAACACATTATCTGACTTAGTTTCAGCTTTCTTTTTTTATTTAAAAAAAAACATTTTTAACTTCGACCAAAACAATATTAGTAAGACATAGTACTCAACAAGGTTTTGCTGATCTATAGACAACATTGAGATTATTTTTATTTTTATGAAAATAGATATCAATTTGCAAAGACATTTTTTTCTTTTTAAAATAGTACTTTTGTCCATCACAGAATTTAGTTAAGAAATTTAAACAAAAAAATGTTTTATCTTAAAATCTAGTTTCTTTATTAAGTTGCTCAAAACTCAATTTATTTTGTTGCACTTTGCTTTGCACCACTTTTTTAATGCTTTATTTAAGCTTCTACAACTTTTGTCGCCACATTTAAATCATAAGAAAATCATTATATTTCTTTCCTATAATTTACTCATAAACCTGTTTGTTTCACAATATTCCACGCATTGTTAACTGCTATTGTGGTTTTATTTAGGTCGGGATCTGTACCTGAATATGAAATTAGAATTTTTACTATATTTGAAAAGACAATTTCTATTCAGGCACTTTTTAACCTTTTCAAACCACATATTATTATTTTTAAACTCCCATTTCTCATTAAATTAAGAACTGACCGGGCTCGGGCTACGGTCACTTTCTATGATGATGAGAATTATAAAATTATATGATTTAGCATGGGTTGATAGCAGACACTGGAAAAAAATTTTAATAGTTAATAAATAATAATTTTATACTTACATTAACTATTTATTAAATGCTGACATATATTTATATATTATTATACTCTTATTTACTTCAAACAAGTTTGCAAGCAACCGCAATTATGTTATGAGTAACTTTAAAATTGAGAATAGTGTTAAAAAGTTAGGAAATTGAGGATTTAAAAAGTTGTAGGTTGTATATAAAAGGAAAACATGAAGATAGGTAAAAGTTATAAAAGTTTTTTTGATGCGAAAGGAAAAAAAATAGATTAATAAAAGTTTTTATAGCATGAAGGAACAGATACAGTAAAAGGATGCAACTTGTTAAATAAAAAGTTAAGCAAGAATGAATTTTGGTTTATCGTAATAGAGGTGATAGCTCGTTTGAGCAATGGCTATGATAGTATGCTATGATGTGGAAAAAAAAATAAATGCAATCTTTCAACAATGGGTGGCTAAAGCTTGGCTGAAAAAGCAGGTCCAACTACATATACGATGTGCTTTTAGACTTTTTCTGAGTGTAAGAAGGTTGTTATTTTGTTAATATAAGAATGCCATCAATACTGCAATATTTTATTTAAGTAAATTAATGAGTTTTGTTGTCTAACAAAAGTTGTAGATTTTTGTTAGTCGGGACTTAAAATCTACAATTTTTGCCTGACTACAAGTCTTTGGCTGTTACTGAAGAGAGATTTTACTTTTAGTCAAGACAAGATTATAAACTTGATTTGTCAGCAAAAAAAGCCATTAGATGTAAAATTTTATAAAGATTGTTGTTGTAGATAATAAACAATGCAGGAACCTTGTAGTTACTCTAACATCACTCGAAATGGAGAAGGGTATACACCTTCAAAAATAAATTTAATACTGCAATTAGCAAGAAATAAATTAATTATCTCAAAAGCCTTATATAAAGAAACTAATAACAGAATGGGAACAAACCGTATGATAGTTAGAAAGGTCAAAATGTTTGCTAGAGTTTTAAAAAATGGAACCACTTATTTAGCACTTTTTAATAGTTTAGCAAAAATTAAAGAGAGTTCTGGAGAAATAGATTATACCCATGAAAAACCTGATCCATAAAAAATCAACCCCAAAAAATGCGCATATATGCATACATAATATGTGAATTAACACATATCTTGGCAATTTATTTAGATGCTGGCATAAAATATTCTTCTGTATTTATATAAACTTTAGAACTTGCATGGTTAATATTAGAGAAACATCATAAAAGAGGAAGGCTGAAACCTGATGATGATAATAATGATGAAGACAAAAATGATGATGACGATGATAATAATGTTGATGATGGTGGTGATGATGATGTTTATATATGCGTATAAATATACAAAAAATAACACGAATTTTGTATAAATAAACTATACTTTTGAATATATAAATTTTTATGCAGCCCGAGTCACAAACCCGGCACCGCCTCCCACTCGGCCCAGCCTCCTGGCTGGTTCAAGCTATATTTTGTCAAACCCGGTCCCGGCCCCGGTCAAATTTTAACCTTTTTTTTTAGCTGCAGTGAAATCATCAATTATTCTATATTATAAGCCTGAAAATTCCTTTTTAGGTGGCTGAAGCAAAAGCAGTAGTTTCAGCAGAGAATGGTGAACTCTTTTGATATAAGCAGTAATAATGTTTAAAAAGAAAGATTTAATTTTTAATGCACATTTACCAGTTTGAAATTCATATCATCGTTATTGGCAACTGTTTTTCTGCCTCCAGCAAGTACCCCCTCCCCAAAAAATAACAACATTGGTTTCCATATAAACGAGTCATTATATAAAAGATAAATTTGTAATCGGTTTTCAATCAGGGTTTTTTAGCCTACTGATTTATTGTAACTACAGAACAGCGTTGCTACACTTTTCATCTATGGAGAAATATTTTTTCTTATAACAAAAAGTTAAAATACTTTAAGATTATGTTTATAGGTTTCAAGCTTGTGAAATTTTATTTTTCTAAGAATTTAAAAGGTCACAAGAAGGTCAAATGTTCTCTCTATCTAAAACATGTATTTCTCATAGGGACTGGTTTTATTCTTAATCACAAACATATTTTATTTTCAATTTTTATTTTATAAACACATGTTAACTAAGTTTAAACAAACGTAGTTCTTACAAATATATTTTAAGTCTTTTACTGTAGATTGTATACGTTAATGTTTTTTCATCAAAGCAAAAATAATGAAAGAAATCAATGTTATAAAACTTAAGTAAAGCATTATGTGCAACAAGTGTTCATTAATACAAATATAACATCAAATTGGCAGTCATTTTTCACTTACAATTATATTGGATTTACTTTTGCTAGACCGCCACTAAAACCTTTTGTTTAGTAGTTTATTATAGGCACAAGCATATTAAATACTAGTTGTTGGTGCAGCATATTGTTGGTAAGCATACTTATACCGTTACTAGGGTATATTTTAGCAAAAAAGTTTGAAAATAAAAACTATTTCTAAACTTTCTATAGCCTCTTTACCACCTCAAAACTAAATTTTTTTCCAGATATTGAAAGTTTTACGCATAAGGAAACCAAATAACTTATAATTTTTATGACAAGCTTTAGGCCTCCGTTGTTATGGGTAAAATAACAAAGCACTTTATTCTCAAAATTTAATATTTGATAACTTACTCTTTTCCTGGCTGTTGCATGCACATAAATATTTTACGATATATACTCAAAGTTAGGGTAAAACTTAAAACTTAGTGGTATTGTCCCATAATTTTTAGACAACCAAAAGTGTTTTAATGTTGAATTTTTAATTTTAAAGTATAATTCTACTCAGAGTAGCAAATAGTTATAAAGAAATAATATTTATATAGCTAAACTAGTCTTACAACGAAGCAACTGTAATCCATGCGCAAATATTACTACAAAGATGGCTATACCTTAGGACCCAATATTTTTAAAATAAATAAAAACTTTCAAAAAAAGGTTTCAAGAATATTGCCTATTTTTATTGTTTTTTATGAAATATTTAAAAATGAGTACAATTTAATGGCACGACTTCCAGAATTTTCTTTTTTATCTATTTCACAGATAATGACTCTTAAACAAATATATTATAAAATGCTTATTTGGTTTCAATATTTTATTAATATTAGGTAATTATATTAGGTATTTTTTTTTAAACTTTAATTCATAAAAACTAATTATTTTTTTTCTTAACATTTGTATTAATAAATTGATATACATTAAGTTTTTTTTTAAATTATTTCTCAAACTTTTTATTAATTTCTTAAACATGTGGTTTCACAAATTATAACGACTTTTTATTTCAAAATATGCATAAAAATACCTAGGATGAAAATCCTTTGTTACATGCAAATAAAAATTGTTTGTGTGACGGACTAAACAAAGGCTAAATAAAATAGTTAACATACTGTATACAAATGCATATGTAGATTTAAACTATTTTCTAAATACTTTTACTTTTTATCATTTGATTTGTAAAATACTAAAAAAATTGTACCTTTTAGATATTTTTGTTTTAATTTCATTGTTTTATTATTATATACATTTAAGGCTGTAAGGCCATTAATATTTACCTCCCAAGATTGCAAGGTCACAACTGCTAAAGAGTTCACTCTTTATATAGTATACATAATCTTTATAGGGACAGTATAGATAATATTTAATATAATTCATTTATTAAATCAACCTGTTATGTTTAACCGTTTATACCGAGGGTGATCTGTCTTCTGCATAAGAACTGAGAACTCAAATTCAATACCTCTAACCTGAGGATACTAGAAATAATATGAAATATAAATAAATATAGATCAAAATACTGCTAAAAAATTATAATGCAAAAATAAAGAATAAAAAATTCTATTAAAACTTTTATTAAAATTAAAAAACTCTTTAAAAGTAGTAAATATATTGCAATAAAATATTAGATCCAATAGGGAATAAATACTGATGAAATTTAAGAGCTGAAAGATATCAAATAAAGAAAAAATTATAAGATCAAATGTTGCAGAACAAATAACGTTCCAAAATCATAAAAACTCACAAGACTAGTAGCTTGAAGTGGAATATACTGAAAAAATGCAGATCCACTTAATCTTCCTTGTTTACAAAGAAAGAATCGATAACTTGTTCCAGGTGCAAAGACTTGGTAAAGGAAAACGCTACTTAAAATAGCCAAAGCAATACAAACAATAAAACAAATCCAGGTATCTACAAAACCAAAACGCAATCATGGAAATATTCAGAAGGTTAAAAAATAGTATCAAAATTTCAAGGAAGGAAAATTTGTTACTATTTTTCAAAAAGAGTAACAAGTTTTCCTCAGTTAAAAAATAACTTTTATTTATCAAAAATTAAAAATGAATAAATAGATAAACAAACAAATCCCACTTAAAAAAGATAAATTTGAGAACATAAAAAAATATCATGTAAAACTAATAAAATATCAAATACAATAAAAAAACAAATACAATAAAAAAACAAGCTTTAAAATGTTGATTGAATGCCCTCTTTCTATGATACATGAGTTTGATTGAGTGTCCTCTTTTTATGATGCATGAGTACAATGTTTAATTCTTAATAAAATAAGCATCTTAAAAACGACTATACATCATTTTACTTTAATTTTTAAAAACAGAAAAAGCAAAGGAACATGTTAAGTATGTTTTAAATTTTAATTCTGCAAAGATTTTTGACCGATGTCCTACTTTTTTCTGATAATAAGGATAGTGTACTTCTTGCTCAATTACATTTTCTAATTCTCATAACGTTGTGCGTAATATTGATGTTGCTACTTTTTGACATATATTACTAATATTATTATTAATATAGTAAATAATAATAATATTATTATTATTATTGTTGATATTATTATTAGTATTATTAATAACTATACTTAACTTGTTATTATTGTTATTATTACTATTAATAATATCATTATTTTCATTTTTATGTGGTTTTACCATTGCCTACTATAGTGACAGGCCAAATAAACATACTATTAAAAAAAGAAACTGCTGGCTAGTTTAATAAAATATAAATTTCAAATTAATAATTAATAATATGGCACATTTCTTAAAAAACATAGTCGTACTTTTATTTACTACATAATGAGTTTTAATTTAGAGCAACATAATTAGATTTAAACAATATGGTTTTTAAGTGTTGTGTCACAGGTTGCAGGATAAATATTGTGTTACAAAATTTGTGATATTTGTTGCGTTCCAAATAAAAAAAAAATGTTGCTGAGCGAAAAAGATGTATATGTGCTTTTCCTCGAGATAAAACTCCAGATATCCAAAATGTTTTTGTTAGTGATTATCATTAGCCTAAAGAATGGAAACCAGTTTTAGTTTACGGAATGAAATAACATCCCCCATCTGTATTCACTTGTGTAAATCCAATTCAAAATCCGATACCACTGGCATGACTTTAACGAACTGTTGAATAATTTGCATTTTTTAAAAGTACTGTGCTTGATGAAATAGAGACATGTAAAAACGAATAACATCATAGTTTAAAGTTTTGTGTAATAAAATAGTGTCTAAAATTATATCTTTTTCCATTTTAATAATATCAAATATCTATAGGAGCTGTTTACATCATCAATTTGCTGACATAATGGATAACTTGGGTGTTCCAAAGATTTCTTTGAAAATACTGTGGTGTTAAGAACACGAAAAATATATTTTTTAAAAGTATACATATATTTTTTCGTTAACATGTTTTTATATTAACTACATATTTTTAAATTAATATATAAAATAATAAAAGTATATTTGATTTTAGTTATAAAAATATAATATATAACGTATTTTTATATTACTTATTATGCAATACAAATTATTGACTCTATTAGTTGTCTTCATGCTGCATTACACTATCTGAAATTTTTAACAATTGTGCACAAGAAAAGCAAAAATTTTAATAAACAACTGTTAAGGATAAACTCCTCAAAGTTTATTAGTGAAAAAAAAGTATTCTCCTTATATGGTTGCCAGGGCATGTGAATACTTTTGATTGTCACGAACCTTTGGAAAATTTCGTTAATGATCATTTATGTTATAAATATTGAGCAAATATTACAAAAAACTTACATTAAAAAACAACAACTGACAAGTTAGAAGTTTTATCAAGCTTTTTCTATAAAAAGTCTTATTATGTAATGCAAGATGATATTTTGTTAATGTGTTTCATAATCTATCTGTTATTGAAAGCAATTTGGCTAAGAACATCAAAATATTTTTGTTCTATAGTGCTAGCTATGTTACTAATGAAGATTCTCCAATGAAACATGAATCATCTTGTTTTGAACAATTTAGAGAATTTTTTGAACAATTTCAGAGAAATTAATTGTAATAATTTAAGATTTCCCGACAATAACATCTACCTTTAGATATTTTAATTCTAAAATTTTATTCATTATCTATACACTTTCGTCTATATTACTGCTTTTTGATGGAATCTAACCTTTACGGTTTATAAATGTTTCAAAAAAATATTGTAGAATTCACACCAATATATTTTTTAACAACTACTGCCATCTTTACTTCCTAAGTAGTTAAAGGAACAAAAAAAAAACGTATTGAAGCTTAAACATATAATAGAAAACACACACACACATATATATGTATATATATATATATATATATATATATATATATATATATATATATATATATATATATATATATATATATGTATATATATATATATATATGTATATATATATATATATATATATATATATATATATATATATATATTTATATATATATATATATATATATATATATATATATATATATATATATATATATATATATATATATATATATATATATATATATATATATATATATATATATATATATATATATGTATAAATATATAAATATATATATATACATACATATATATATATATATATATATATATATATATATATATATATATATATATATATATATATATATATATATATATATATATATATATATATATATATATATATATATATATATATTAGGGTGTTCCAAAAAAATAACTTTTTTGAACTTCAACTAACATTGCTTTTCATAAGGTGCCCCAACCTTGATATTACTAATAATTTTTTTTCATGATTAGATCACTTCATGACTTCCCTCAATGGGTCCAAAGTTCATTTTTTGCCCGTTTTTTGCCCATATTTTGGACTAATTGAGGGGAGTGTTACCATTATCCAAATTAATTTTTGTTTCTTTTTTTTTTGTTATTTTATCTTTTTGAAGAAAATAAAAATATAATGTTAAGCCTTATTTGTTTTTTTATTTGAACAATGAAGATCAAAAAATTCAAAAACATTGATTTATTTTACTATATTTCACTACCTTTTACTACCTTTGTCCTATGTACCATTTTAATGTGTTTTCTGTTATATTTTAAATACACGTATAATTGTTTCATTTTGTAAACAATTATATTTTACCTTGTGTATGCAATTTGATTTTTAACTTATTTTATATTTTTGGTCACCATTTATCTTTTTAGTAACTAATTAACTTAAAAAAAAGTTATTTTATAGTAAAATGCCACCAAAAAAGAAGCTTACTCGAAATAAGGCTGAAGTATTTCTAGTAAAGAAAGTTAGAGAAAATCTTTCATGTTATAAACTTCCTACTGGCATAGAGGTTTTGCAATACTACCAATATCTAAGAAACTTGAATCCCAAAGTAAAGAAAACGGTTTTAATTAGGTGTCATTTCGAAATTAATTCATTTGAGCTCAGATGCCCTCCACAAGCTGACTGTTGTGTAATGTCTAAATTGGTAAGGCCATGGAATCTTGCAGGGTTCCCTATCATAACCTTGGAAAATATCAGGTAAATTATGAATTCAAAATTTATCAACAAATTTATTTTCATCTTTATTTTAAACATTGAATAAATTTTGCATTTTAAAGAAAGAAGATTGATAAAATGGTGAACAACTATTACAAGTTAAAGAAGAATAGCAAAAGGAACAGCCCAACAGATACGAAAAGGAATGAGGCATTTTTTGAAGAAATGTTAAAATGCTTTTGGATTAGTAAAAAAAAAGAAGAACTAATTGAAGATATTATAAAAGACAGGAGAAGGACATCCGAAGCCAAAAATGAAGATATTGTGTTTATCTTAGACCAAATTGGAAATAGGATAGGAAGAATAGGAACAAATGATAAAAGGTTTACGTACACTATTAAGAGATCCCACAAAAAATTGTGTTCCATGTTAAACATGGAGATTAAAGTAAACAATGGTAACAATCTATACAGTTTAGAAAACTCTTCAAGTAGTGATAATAATTCTGACTGTGAATATGTAGCAGATATAAAAAAAGAACAATCTACCTCTGTTGTTTTGTTACCAAAAAATATTTTAAAAAAAACAGCTCTCACACAATAGGTGAAGTACTTTCAGTTAGACAACACACTGCAATAGTCGCAAGTGTTATTGCTAATTCAGGAGGTGATGTTACTAATTTTGCAATATCTTCTTCAACCGCATTTAGAGTTGCAGAAGAAGTTGTAACTAAAGAGGGAGAAAAGATTAAAAAGCACGTTACTGATCTTGTTAAATCTTCATCATTACCAATTATTCTCCATTTTGATGGAAAAATAGTTAAGGAGTTCACAAGCGAAATAGAACATCAACTTGACAGACTTGCTGTTTCCATCAGTATAGATGGACAGAGTGAGCTTCTTGGGGTTCCTCATTTGAGCTCTAGTACTGGAGAAACACAGAAGAATACAATCATAAAACTTCTCCATCAATTTGATATTTTTGATAAATTACAAGGATGCGTTTTTGATACAACTTCTGTAAATACTGGTAATAAAAAGGGTGTGTGCATTAGATTAGCTGGAGAGCTTGATAGACCACTACTTCTCCTAGCATGTAGGCATCACATCTATGAAAGGCATATTATTCACTGCTGGAACATTTATCCCAGCAGTAAAATAAATGGTCCAGATAATCCATTGTTGAAGAAGCTTAAAGATGTATGGAACTCAATTGATCAAAATTCCATTGTGTTAAACAAAGTAAAAATTGAAGATATTTCTGATAGCTGGCTGCAGGTACAGTTCAAAGAAGCCTTATCTTTTTCTCAAAATATTATCAGAATGAAAACAATGAAAAAGGTATTTAAAATTTTGAATAAAGTGAATACTCTATAATAAAATAAGTTTAGTAAGGTACTGTTTTGTGTCTAAATAAATAATCTTATTTAGGATGGATGTAGGTCTGATTATCTAGAGTTAGTGGAATTGACAACAATGGTTTTATCTGGTGATGAACAGTACAGGCTAAGAAAACCTGGGCCTGTACACCATGCCAGATTTATGGCAAAGGGAATATACTTTCTGAAAATGTATCTCCTTCTAAACAACATTTCTAGCTTGACAGATTTTAAGAAGAAAGAAATAAATGATATGGCATTCTTCACACCTGTATTTTACACTGAGTGGTTTATAAAGGCTGAAATTCCGGCTGTCGCTCCATATCAGGTGACATTTCTATGTTTTAAAAGTTTTTAATCATTTTGCTTTTTATTACTTTTTTTTCTTTGAAAATTTTGTGTAATATTTCATAGTCTAAAAATCTTTAGGATATGAAAGCTCTTTGGCAGATGATGAGATACTCAAAAATCAATCCTGTCCAGGCAAAACCTGTTATAGAGTCTCTAAAGAGACACACCTGGTACATAGACCCAAATATTTTAGTTATGTCTCTTGTTGACAAAAATGTACAAGAACGGAGTGACATTGCCAAGAAGTTGTACTCAACCCCAAGACCTACAACTTATGCCATAGAAAGACATCAAGTTAATTTAAATATACTGAACTCCCTTATGTTTAATGATGATACTCCCCCAAATTTGACCCCGCTTATAACTGACCAGAGTTGGTTAATTTTTCATATCTTAAACCATGCAAATGCTGAAGTACAGTGGCTTAAGACTCCATCTGAGACATGGGATCTAAATGACTATTACTTAGAATTCAAACAATTTGTGAATAATCTTGAAGTAGTAAATGACTGTAGTGAGAGGGCTATAAAACTAGTTCAGATAACTATTTTATATGTTTGGTCCTTAATATTTATGTTAAAATCTTAATTTATTTTACAAGCTCATTACTTTTAAATATTCTTTAATAGGAGTTGATCAATAAATCGCATAATGAGGATAAAAGACAAAGTACCTTCCTCGTATCAAACAAATATAAGAGTGAAAGAACAATTAAAAAAAAAATGTGATTATGTAAAGAATTCTTTGTTTACAAAATAACTTTATAAACATGAACTATGTTTGACAACTAATTTATTCAGAAACTAATCATAAATATGATTTTATT